CATATCAATCGAAGTGGTCTGTGAAATGTATTATTGGTAAGACACAGGGATTGGAACAGCCCACCCCCGATAATACGGGCAGCTCTGCGGAGAATTCCAGGAAGGATAATTATCGAGCTCTAACCCTAACCCCAAACTTGACTCTAGGCCTAAACTAACTCCTTATTCCAACTGTAACCCTAACGCTAACATTTATCCCAACTCTAACTCTTAGCTTTACCTTAACACTAACCCTGATCTACCTAGGAGTTATCGCAATACCCCCAGGATAGAAATGGGGTTCCTTTTCCCATGCCTTGCTGCATTTATGACTGTTAAAAAAACATCCACCAAAAACACAATTTCAAGTTTGGTGCTCTCAGTAGCCTTCGCCTGCGCAAGTTAAAACGCTATGCAGAGACGCATGAATATTCATTTGTGGAATGAGAAGTTAAGGCGATCTCTGGGGAGGATGTTTTACTAATCTAACGTTTCATATTCGTACTTGAACACATAATCGGGGATAGACAAAAAAGGTAAATACGTAATTTAAATAAGCATTTCTGGTCCATTGATTCATTGGTCCCGTTACCTTGACCAATAGGTGCCTTACGGCCTCGTATGGCACTAGCAGGTCGATCCTTCTGTTGATCGAATTGGCACGCTTCGATTATCTTCCTCGACATTTTGCTTACGCCTCGACCGACTACTTGTGCACGGTCGAAGTTGAATTGGTGGTGTTTCAATGTAGAAACGGCTTACTTGGCTATTGGCACTTGCACTCCAACTCCTTCACAAGTGTGACTTCGTTTTCTGGATTGGCAGAAATCTAGAACGCACTAATTGAAGGCCCTCCATTTCCAAGTAACTGAGACGCTAACCTTAGTTAAAAGCGGGGTCCACTTAAAGAAGGTCCCTAAAGTCAACATGAAGTAAACCATTTCTAACTGGTAAGGCAATAATTGCACTTAAAAAACCGAGATGACATTTCTATGAAGTGATGATAAAATTCCATTAAAATAGCAGAGAGCTTGGACAAACTTATTACAGTTTGGTTTTTGATTTTATTTTCTTAATTTACAAATATTTTTTATTTCGATGGTTGTTCTTAAAATCGTCTCAGGACTCTGAATAGGAGACTACTTATTTTCTTTCATCGGAGTTTGAAATTTGTTGAACATTTTCCCATTTCGATTTATCATCTTTTTTCCTTCTACAGAGAGCCTAGGCACTTATTCGGCTCAACCTCAGCACAGAAGGACAGATGCCTCCCCGAGTGGACTGATGAAACTTTTCAAACAAAAAAAGAAACCCGCAAATAGTCCCAGTGAGTGCTATATTACGTCTGTCACCACCACCACCACCATCATCATTATCATCGTGATAATTGTTAGTATTATCGTCGTCATCCCACACTTCTTCGTAATCGAAGTCGTATTCGTCACCAATTTTAGGTTTCTTCAGTTTAGATGTTCGAAGGAAGCCTACATAGGTTAACGGCTATTTAAAACCATTATCGGAGGGAGATGTTTGTCAAAGTCTTCATAGGTTTTGCCTCTAGATACTTCCACCTCGCGCACTTTCGTTGTACCAAAGCGGATTTAACTGCGTTCCAGCCGTGAAATCCCACATTTAGCCCCAATTTTACGTTCCGTCTCGCCCTCAGCTGTTCAAGATGTCCTTCTGCTTTTAATTGTAGATGTTGCCAAGCTCATGTATCTAGAGAATCTTGAAACTTCCGATTTTGACACCATCTCCACAGAGGGTTACCAACGAATTCTCAAGGGCGAGCGCATGTATCAAGACGACGCCAGCTAACTTTCATTTATGTATTTTACCTTCTACACCCCGTGCCTGACAGTCTTGAATTTCAAATTCGACTTTTGCTTTGCCCGATCCACATGTACACACACCTACACAATCACAGAAAGCCCACTCGTGCACACACTGGGTGATCCTTTCTCCCTTTTCAGGGAAACCGGTGTTTTCTAGTTAGCCAAAAACGCAGTTGTTCAAGGTTTCATGTCCTGCGGACCCGCCCGTTCGTATCTACAGCATCCTTTCTTCCAAACCAATTATAAATCCTCCGCCTCTCACTTTGCTGTGCAAATGAGAGGACGAGAGTTCATTTCCTCCCTGTGAGAGCCCTCATTGTCCCACTATGTTGAGTATGGGCTAGAGGGTTTTCCGACCTTTCGACTTGTATCTCATTGCCCCACCGGAGCACAATTATGCATGCTACATATCTAACTTATTATCACGTTGCTCGATTGGCAGTTATGAATTTGCCTAGCCAACTTGTCTATAAAATTTATCGGCAGATGATTTAACCTGTTTTAGTCTG